ACGTGAAAAGCTGCAGAGGTGGACCACGGTGTGGACGGGCTGATGCCACGGAACTCCGCACTCCCCGCATCACTGCATGTTTTATCTCACACCCGTCTCACCACCTTAAACAAGGCAAAGTGCAGGAGGAAATAGCAGGTGTACCCACAAATACGCCTTTCCCCTCAGAAGACACGCATGCATAGCAGTGAGAACACGGTCCATGTGCCATGAAAACACCTTAAAATGCTAAAGGACCAAAGTCTACAACACTTCCTTCCCAGGGGACATGCTAATTAGATGCTCCCCTCCTACCATCATGTGACCTTGAACCAGCTTATACCTAGGAGGACCGGAAACTTCCCCAGTGGCCCTCTGGCATCTTGAAGGGTTCACCTCGTCCAGGGGAGTGTGCCCGAGGGTCTACACATCTAGTAGCCCACCCACAGTCTGGCTGGGCGTGCCCGAGGGTCTACACGTCTAGTAGCCCACCCGCAGTCCGGCTGGCCGTGCCCGAGGGTCTACACAGCTAGTAGCCCACCCGCAGTCCGGCTGGCCGTGCACGAGGGTCTACACGTCTAGTAGCCCACCCGCAGTCCATCTGGGCATGCTCAAGGGTCTACACGTCTAGTAGCCCACCCGCAGTCCGGCTGGGCATGCCCGAGGGTCTACACGTCTAGTAGCCCACCCGCAGTCCGGCTGGGCGTGCCCGAGGGTCTACACGTCTAGTAGCCCACCCGCAGTCCGGCTGGGCATGCCCGAGGGTCTACACGTCTAGTAGCCCACCCGCAGTCCGGCTGGGCATGCCCGAGGGTCTACACGTCTAGTAGCCCACTGTCCCACCAGACTCCCCTTACTCTCAATGACATGAGCTTTGCCAAACAGCCACTGTTTTAAAAATGATCAGAAATCGTAGGAAATGAAAACCCATCCAGTGTGACATATTTTTCAGAATTTTATTAACATCGAACAAAACTGGTAAAACAGAACTTTAATACAACCCTTCATAGCAAAAGGTAAAAAGTCATGGGAAGCCTCCCCAAGCCGGACTACAGGTGGGTTACTAGACGTGTAGACCCTCAGGCACGCCCAGCCGGACTGCGGGTGGCTTACTAGACGTGTAGACCCTCGGGCACGCCCAGCCGGACTGCGGGTGGCTTACTAGACGTGTAGACCCTCGGGCACGCCCAGCCGGACTGCGGGTGGCTTACTAGACGTGTAGACCCTCGGGCACGCCCAGCCGGACTGCGGGTGGCTTACTAGACGTGTAGACCCTCAGGCACGCCCAGCCATACTGCGGGTGGGCTACTAGACGTGTAGACCCTCAGGCACGCCCAGCCGGACTGCGGGTGGGCTACTAGACGTGTAGACCCTCAGGCACGCCCAGCTGGACTGCGGGTGGGCTACTAGACGTGTAGACCCTCGGGCACGCCCAGCCGGACTGCGGGTGGGCTACTAGACGTGTAGACCCTCGGGCACGCCCAGCCGGACTGCGGGTGGCTTACTAGACGTGTAGACCTCGGACACACCCAGCTGGACTGTGGGTGGGCTACTAGACGTGTAGACCCTCGGGCACGCCCAGCCGGACTGCGTCAATGGACACACTGACGATGCCAAATACATCTCGTGTACCTATCAATGGGATCAGCTCTGCCCACGGGGACTCACTGGGTGAGCTTCCTCGGACACATGTCCCTGGGTCCTGCTCCAGGACCCACACGGTGACTGTTTCCCGAGGCCAGGGCGCTGGGACCTCCACAGCTCCCCTCACGACGTAACGCGCAGTCATGTCTGAGAACCACACCGGTGCGGGTCAGAGCCGCCCTCCCTCCGCCACACGCCCCCCGTCCCCACGCGGGTCAGAGCCGCCCTCCCTCCGCCACACGCTCCCCGTTCCCCACCCAGGAACGCGCAGTTGGCTCACGGAGGCCCTGTGGCTCTGTGGGAGGCTTTCCCGAGAAGGAGCGTGTGACTGCTCCTTCCTCCTGCCCGTGGGGAACAGTCCCTGGTGAGACCCTCCATGGGGGCATTGGCGTACACTGGGGGGCTCTGTACATTTGCATCTCTTACAAAGCAGTGGATACCGCTATTAGAACCCTGAGTACTATGTCATTATGTTCACTTTGACCATGGTACTCTCCCATGATTGAGGGTGGGCCACCTGACGGACAGTTGTGGTCACACGGCACTGAGCACAGTCCTGTTCCTGCGGGGGGCGACTGCGTCCCAGACACAAGTGCACACAGCAAGTCCTGTTGAGACGACGTAACCTCCTGGCGTGGTGCCCAGGCTGACGTCCGATGTTTCCGCGACCCCTCTGGGAAAGGCACTGTCCCACACATGGTGGGGAGACTCCAGGAGGGCAACCCGTCCTCTGAGCAAATGGAAACACTTCCAAGCACTCTCCTGCCCCATAGAGGACACGCGCTGGCCTGTGAGCCATAGAGCGACCGCTAGGACACTCCTGTCCCTTACGAAGTGGTCAGAGACGACTGTGCCTGGAGCGCCGGCGCCAGCACAGAGTGAGGCCGCCCTCCCAAACCGCGGAGGCGTGGGAAAGGCCCCAGCTGAGCTCTCAGCTGCACCAATGGAGCTGGCAGCCAGGTGTGAGAGCTGATGGGGGTGGGGCTGGGCCCACCTGGTCCCTGCAGTCAGGGCTCCGGGGCCCAGGGCGCTTCCCGCCCTTCTGTGGGAGACCTGCGCATTCAGCCACCTTGGGACATGTTGGAAGCTGAGTGTCCGGAGGAAGCCAGATGGGGGTGGGCCCCTCCCCTCTGCCCACTCGGTTCTAGGAGAGGGACCTGCAGGGGACTTGTCCTGATCACAGGGCTCCAGGGCCTGACTCTCCCACCCCTCTGTCATCAGGAACACGGACGCGGTGCAACCCAGGGACCTCAGGGGTCACCACCTGGGCCACAGTCACCCACCTGGGGGATTTCCTAATCTCATTTCTGTCCACTGAGCTGATTATTAGTACCGCTACTTAAATTTTTTTCTGTCACCAGGGACATTACTTAGGGTCCTTGTCACTACACTGATGGTCACTGTGCTTAGGAACGATTTTTGTGGTTTTGGCGATTAAACACTGAACAGACCTCTGGGAGAGAGGCGTCCGGTCTTCCAGAATGTTCGAGGTTTCCCGCACACACGGCCGAGTCCAGCCGTCCTGTGGTTTCGAAGCGGGAGCCAGGCCGGGCCCCGTGGCTCATTTGGATGAGCATTATCGCTGCAGAGACACACAGCAGATGGAAATAACCGGATGAAGCTCAGGCAGGAGCCTGTCCCCAGGGCCCTGCTCTCCTTCCCAGGGGTCTCTTCTCAGGCCCAGCGCCTCCTTCCCGCTGTCCGCGCCTCACCCAGGTCTTCGGCTTCCCTGACCCAGCGAACGCCTGCTTCGGTCTCCGCTCTGCTCCGGGTCCGGGTCCGCTGCTGGGCTTCCTCTCCCTGAGCCAGGGCGATGCCCCTTCCAGAGGGGTCACCGCTTCCCTCATGTCCCCCGCCAGGCCGCCTGGCCCCGCCCCTCTCCGCCCACGGCCCTCCCACCGGCTCGCTCGCCCCAGTTCGCAGGGAGCCAGCCACCCTCTGTGGCTTTTCCCTCTCGGTTCTGGTTCCTGACCTTCTGACTCTCCTTGTCTGCCATGCAAGGCCCCAGGCTGCTGCGGGGCCTGCGCTTCCTGCCTCAGTTTACCGACCATGGCTGGGCCCCTCCAAAGCTTGGGCCCCACTGTGGGCCCCACTGTATTCCCCTCCTCGCAGTCAAGGACACGCCCTCTCCAAGTTGCAGGAACAGCCCTTAAGGCTTCGCCTTCTATACCTGTCCCTCCTTTGGGGTCATTCAGCAGCTCGGTGCCCTCCAGGGCCCCTCAGCCCCTGCCCCGTAGGAATGAAGGACCTGCCCAGTCTCCTGCCTCTTCCCCCGCCGTGACCTGAGCCTGGGAGCTTTTCTAGGAACCAGAAATAGGATCCCAGAGGATGATCCAACCTGAAGAAAATAAATCCACTTTAAGATTGCTGCCTTTGGCCCTGGCCGGTTTGGCTCAGCGGTTAGAGCGTCGGCCTGCGGTCCGGAGAGGCCCGGGTTCAGTTCCCGCTAAGGGCACGTACCTTGGTTGCAATTTGTCCTCGGCCCTGGCTGGTCGTGCGGGTGGCAGCCACTCGACGTGTCCCTTTCACATCGATGTTTCTCTCTCTCTCTCTTCCTCCCTCTCTATCTGAACAAAAAATGGAAAAACGTCCTCGGGTGAGGATAAAAAAAAAAAAAAGATTGCTTCCTTTGGAAAATTTCATCCTTTAAAAATTTACAGAAAACTTTGACTTTGCAAGTTAGGTACACCCAGAATCTGAACCATTACCCAGGGTCACGCTTCTGTCACCCGACGACCACTCTGGGTAAAGAAGAAATTCTCCATCGGGCCAGGGCGTGGGGGTTGCGCGGGTGGGAATGTGTGACCAGTCTTACTTATGAGTCCACACACCAGACTGTGACCTCTTCCCTCTCGACGGCCAGAGCATTGGATTTCCGCGATCTCACTGTGAGGGCGACACGAGAGATAAGCCCAGAACCCCTTTCTGGGACATTGGACGAGAAAACAGGGCTGAGTCCTCGCTTCCTTGTGAAGGGGGCGGAAGCAGACACCACACCGTGTCCTTAGAGTGAAATGGTAGGTGGCCCACTGGCCTCGACTGGCAGTTCAGGTCCATGCTCCATTCTAACAGCTGGAGGAAGAGAGGTGCAGAATCCCACCCCTGGGCCACATCCCCCCACCCAGGTTCCCCAGGCCACCACACCCAGGACCCACCGAAATACATAACACTCCCCATCCCTTAGAAAACTGAAAAAATAAACTCCATTCTCCACATCTTTCAAAAGCACTCTTTATTCAATAGTTGAATGTAATTACATTGGTTCACATATATTCATCTTTGCAAAAATCGCATATCCCGGGTCCCATCCACCACTGACCCTCACACAGAGATGCTGGAAAGTCCGAGACCCATCCCCAGTGCGTGCTCCGCAGCAGTCACCAGCCTCCAAGCACTGCTGGGGTCATAGGGACACAACCAGACACAACCAGAGACCTCTGGCCCTTCTTCCTCCTCTTGTGCACCCTGGCCCCTGCTCTGGGACCAGGGACAGGGCCCAGAACATGGGCCCCCTGAGGGAGGAAGTCCCGGGCGGGATGGTTGAGCAGGTGGCTCTCCCGCCCAGGATGACTGTGGGTGGAACCGGCGTGGTGTTTGGACTGGTGAATCACCACGGCGTTGGTGGGCAGGGCTCCGTGGACCTTCCTGAGGCTGAACTGAGGCTTTGGTCGGGCTTGCCCCTGGAGCAGTCTCCACTCTGCTAAGGTGATGTGTTTGACTGACATCTCTTGCACAGGCTCCTCCAGCACAGGACCCGCGAGGTTGGAGTGACTCTCAGGTCCCCGTTGTCTTGACCCCTTGACTCTGCGCTCAGACTCGCGGCCTCCGGGTTCTCCCGAGACGAACGCAGTCCCAGCGTCGCCCTCCTCTTCACTCTTGCGGACATAAAAGAGAACATAGGCACGTTGGCTCAGGGCAGAAGAAACGTCACAGGCGGTCACCTGAGCGTCATCCATTTGGAACCACCGGCTGTCCCCGGCTCTGACGTAACAGAAGTAATGCCCACTGTCACAAGCCCGGCCGGCGTGGACCAGCACGGCACAGAGCTCATACAGCAGCGGCCCTGCGCTCCGCAGACCCAGGTGGGGCCGCAGGTCCAGGCGCTCTGGGTAGAGCACGTCCTTGTGCACCTTGCTGCCTGTGGGGTCCGAGAACCGCTTCAGCACCAAGAGGAGGACCTGGGGGGCCGCGTGCAGGGTCAGCGTCTTGGCGGCTGGCACCTTCTCCATGCAGACGCTGCACTCATAGGCGTCGGCCCCGTCCAGCTTCTCGGGCTGCCCCAGCACCCCCAAAGCCTGGGTCACACTCTGAGCCCGCTGGATGTCCAGGGGGATGTCCAGGAAGGGGTCCAGGGTGTCCGAAACGCCGTGGCAGGTGAGGCATTCGATCCGAGATCTCCAGTAGCCTCCGAATGTCTGCCGGATGAGGGTGGTGTCCTCGGAGGGCCGGTCCAGCGGCGTGCGCCCACGCAGGCAGGCCTGCTGCATGGCGTCCAGCAGGAACAGGAGGAACTCGTGGGCGTCCTCCTGCTTGTGCCTGTGGAAGCCAGTGAGCAGTCTCTGCGAGGGCTGGATAACGTCTCCAGGATGCAGGCGGGCCCGGATCACGTGAGCCTCCATGGCACACAGGACACAGGCTGTCTGCTTCGGGCAGGTTGCCCCGTGCTGCCCGGACAGCATGGCGCTGGCCAGAGGCGGGGTGTAGGTCAGGCACTGCAGGGCCGCGTTCACGTAGCAGGTTGTCCCCAGATTCGAAAGCCCTGCCCCGACCCCCCAGGGTCTCTTCCAACTTACAGGGTTCTCGGGGGGAGCCAGACCGTCCTGTGGGCTGTGCGCGGGCTGGGATGGGGGCAGGGGGTCCTCCGGTCCACAGGGTCCCCGGTGGACCTCGGCACCAGCTGCACAGGACCAAGCAGAGGTGAGCCGCGGAGAGACACGGAACTGCGACTCATCTTCCAGGTGCAGAGAAGCTGCCCCCATGTCTCCGGGGATGATCTTCAGGAGTTTTCTCGCCGGGAAGGCTCAGGTGGAGAACGAAGCTTCCCGAGCCGGGTAGGTCTCCAAATGAGGGCTCCGCTGTCTCAGCAGCCCTTTTATAGCCCATCAGGATCACCAGAAGCAGAGCCCACCAATCAGCTCCAAGCTAGGGGATTAACGGTGAGGGTGTGGTCACTCCTAATCCGAGACACCTACAGACCCCTTTCAGATACTATTACTGGAAAGAACTCAAGAAAAGACCATCCCGAATTTGGACCAAACCCTACTTGAAATGACTGGTCACTTCAGGAGAGAAAGCGAGGCAAGTTTGGGCAGAGACGCAGCGAAGTGGGCCTTTCCCGTCCAAGCAGACCCTGGAGTTTGCTGTCCTGAGCCAGGCCCGCCAGGAGCCACCCGCAGCTGGGTGAGGTCAGGATTCTCCGAGAGCCTTCAGACAGAATGGGGCCCCTTCATCTTGGACTTCTGACATCTCCTCTCTAAGACAACACATCTCTCTTCTTTTAAACCACTCTGCTGTGGCAGTTGGAGAAGGAACCTAATGAGTTGAGTATGGCGTCATCATTAAGATGTCTTGGATGACATCTATTTTTCAACATGACTGATGGAAACGAGATCAGTTTTATTATTGATTTCAACAGAATCTTAGGTAAGAAGCAAAGAGTGTGTACAAGCTGGGGCCATAAAGAAAAAAGCCACAGCTAATCAAAATGTTGGCATGCATTCTTTGGCTCCGGTATTTACCTCTGCAGTAACACAGACATACTGTTTGATTTAAATTACACGACAGCATCCACAAGCCCCATTCCATCCCTAGCATGATTGCAGGTAGCGCCTCCTGGCGGCGGTTCCTCTCTCTGTCCTTCCCAGACCTGTGGAAGTCCAGACCCCCGGGTCAGCATCCCACAGAGGAGGCCGCAGGAGGCAGTCTCGCATGATGCTCCAAGACCAGCAGGGGGCATCAGTGGCCGGCCCGAAAGGTTCAGATGTTTCTGGAGGACTAGGAAAACCCAGCAGTGGCCTGATCAGGTCAGCAGGTCTCAATCTCCTTCCTCGCAGAGAAGCAGGAGCATTTCTTGAGCCGATGAGGGGACGGTAAACATTTGGAGAGACTCAGGGGAGCCCAGGGCCCCGGTGTTGTGCCTCTCTTTGGGGCAATGGGGATCCTGGGCTTTGGGCTGTGGTAGAACATCTGGAGGATGCTCAGGCAGCTGGTCACGCGTCTGGCAGCCTCCCCAGGGTGGCAAGAGCAGTTCCTGAGCCGCAGCGGGCTCCCTGGGAGTCCCAGGTCTGCACAGGACGCTGCTGCCCCCAGGAGGGCTCTGGGACATTTCCCTACAGACCCAGCCACCTGAGGACACGCTCCCCCGGGCTACCTGCCCGCATGGCTGGGTGCATGCTTCAGGAGGGGGACAGGGAGCAGTTCCACAGGCTGGCCCCAGGAGTGCGGACCCAGCGCCACAGGGCAGACTGCAGCCTGAGTGTGCAGGCTGGTCCGGGGAAGCATCCGAACAGGCTCCAGGACTTCACCCATTCCTCGTGAGCAGAGACTGAATTCAGTGTCACACAGCGACTCACCGAAATAGTCCACGATAAGCAGCATGGTACTAACGATGATGAACACCAGCAGCAGGCAGAGGGTGGTGACCCTGATGTGACCCTGACAGCAACCTAAGGAGAGCAGAGTGCAGACTCCCCGAATGTACCACCGGGTACCCATACCATCCTCAGGGGCTATTTCAGACTCAGAGCCCTAGATATCCACAAAGGAAATTATCCACCAGATGGGAACCAGCAGCCGATACCATTGCAAAGCAACCAGATGAAGGGATGGGTGACCTTGGGAACTGAGTGCACGTCCCAGGAAGGTGGCATAAGGAACAGAGGTGGAAGTACCTAGTCTGTAGCCTGCCAACGACATGACGCCCATCACACCCCAGAAGTTTAGCCAGTAGGTTCTCAGGCCTGGGTACCCTGCAAAGAAGGTGGGAGCAGATCCACACCTCACGTTCAGAAGTTATGAATGTGGCTGACATTAAGCCATCCAAGTTCCTTCTGCTGTCCCTGCCATCAGATCCCTGGGGCCTGATACCTTCCTCTGAATATCAAGGTTTATGGTGGTTGGAGCGTGATATCCTCTCTGTCTGTCAGACATGCAAGGAGTCCTCTTTGGAGGACCTAGAAAATTCTTAGGTCGCTGTTGTTGGCGGACAGTTGCCACCCTGTGTCTCACAGTGCTGCACAAGTGTTTTATGGAACGAGGGGACTTTTAGCTTTTCCAGGGACCCTGGCTTGCTGTGAATGCCCAATGGTGCCTCCAGGTTCTAAGATGAGGTAGAAAATTCTAAAGAAAATTCTAAGAAACTGTTCCTTGGCCCCCTAGTAGACTTAGAAAATATTTTGCTGCCGTGGCTGGTATGGCTCAGTGAATAGAGTCTCAGCCCTGGCACCAAAGAGTCCCAGGTTTGATTCCTGGTCAAGGGCACGTACCTGGGTTGCAGGTTCGATCCCTAGACCCACTCGAGGTCATGCAGCAGGCAACCAATGTGCCTCTCTCACATCAATGTTTCTCTCTCTCTTGCTCTCGCTCTCTCCCCCTCCCTCCCTTACTTCCATTCTCACTAAAAAATATCAGTAGAAAAAGTATCCTTGGGTGAGAATTAACAAAAGAAAATATTTTGCTAACTCTGGCCACCCAAGGACACACTCCCTATGTCGTCCAGCTTGTCACAACAGGTCCCCGGGTCTTGGAAAGGAATTGGAACTTTTATCAGAGGCTCCGTGGACTCATGAGAATACTGTTTGTCTCACTTTTTGGCAAAGCTGGTTCTTGGGTTCTGAGCTGAGGTACAAACTCTCCGACATTTCTGGGAAGTCTAGACTGGTCCCTAGGCTCCCAAGGATACGCAGAAAGCTTTGTTGTGGTTCTGGTCAACCAAGTTTGCCTTGAAATTGACCCAGCTTGCTATCTAGAGACTGTTTCCAGGATGGGGTTCAGAGAGGGAAAATCAGGCTAGCCAGGCCACTCGCTGAGTTGAAGAGAGGGCGTCTGGTAGAGCAGATTCCCGGGGCAGATGGAGCTGCGTGGAGAAGGAACTCGAGATCTTGGCGTAGGCCCTGCCCCTGACCCTCAGGGTACACACACAAGGCTCCTTCCCATCTCCCCGAATGTCCTAGCACAGGTCAGTCTTCAGCACGGACATTGTCGTGATTGTGATACTGCTCAGAGCTGTGCCTCAGCGTCCCTTCCCTAGTCAACTTCATCGTCTCCCGAGAGTTAATTATTCTCTTGTTTTCAATATACTCTTTTTATATGTCCTCATTCTCCTTCAACCCTCCACTCTCTGCCTGTCGTCTGACTCTCCTCTGAACGGTGCCTCCTCCTTCGGTATGTCCATCCACGTGGTCTCCTGGGAGAGCCAGTTCCTGGAGGTTCCTGGACCCCATGCCCATGACTTGCCATCTGTGTGTGCTGCTCACTGTCACTGCGATGCTCCCTCCCTGGGGGCTGGGAATTCCACGGCAGTGTCCCCTCGACTCCCCTGTTCCTCCACCATGCGGGTCCCTGCTGCTGCTGTACCTATCTGCCACAAACTGTCTTCAAACATCAGCATTTTTTATTTTTTTACAGTTTTGAAGGCCAGCAGTCCAAAACAAATGAGTCCTATGGGACTAACACCGAGGCGTCAGGGGAGACCAGCTCCCCTCGGACTACAAGGTCACCTGCTTTCTAGTCTTTCCCAGTATCTAGAGCAACACTCTCCTCCCTGCATATTCTCTGTTTTGTTTTTTTTCAAATCATCACCAGAGGATATTTTTTCCATTGATTTTTTTTTTCTTTTTTTTTTTTTTTTAAAGAGAGAGTGAAAGGGAGGGAGGGAGAGAGAGAGAGAGAAACATCGTCAGTGAGAGAGACACATGGATTGGTTGCCTCCTGCATGCGCCCTGACTGGATCCAGGAATGGAACCTGCAATCCAGGTACGTGCCTTTGACCTTTGACCGGGAATGGAACCCAAGACCCTTTGGTGTGGGGGCTGATGCTCTGACCACTGGGCCACACCGATCAGGGCATCTCTGTTTCTTACAGGTTTGTTCTTACTCGATGGAAATACTTCCCTGCAGTTTTCACAACGGACCCTCGTTATATCCTTTTAAACCTAATAAGTTTGCTGAGTAAAATGATAGAACACAGAAGAGAATTCTACAGAATGACTTGATGGCAGACTTAACAGACTCCTTCAGAACGGGACGGACTTCTCCATCTGTGTCTGCAATGTCCGCACACCATCACCACCCTTCCCATTCTCCTCCCCTTTCCAATCACTGCCACGAACAGTTCAGCACCGTGGTTACATGTGTGTGCACGCCCATGTTTATTAAACCCAAAGGCCCTGCTCCTCAGGAAAACCCACACAGTTTATTTCGGGGTAGAGTCGTATCGCTCTTCTCTCTTGAACATAGTTGGCCAGAAGTTTTAACTCCGGGCCTGTTCCCTTTCACATTTCCAATCACTTCCCCCTCCCCAGGCTGGGAGTCTGGAGGGAGCAGCTGCGAAGCTGGGTGGGCAGGTGACCGACACGCCCAGGCCTGGTGTCTGCCCTGGATGCGAAAGGCACCCTAGTGGGAGAGCGGGCTCGGAAGTTCTGTGTAGGTTCTGTTCGGGAAGACCAGGGCGGAAAGGCAGCCAAGAGCCAAGGGCTGAAACTAAGCCCTCGGGACAGGCTCAAGCCCTAGAGATGAGCAGCGTTGGGTTCACTCCCTTGGCTCAGTGTGATCCTTACATGTCGGTCCCCGTCACTTCTGTGTGAGGACACGGAGCCTTGTCGCCCCTTTCTCTTGCCAGATTTTAGAGTCACTAACTCTTAGAGAACTAAGCAGAGGAGTTTGGGAGATAAAGAATCATTAAGTTAACGCCCCCTTTTCCGTTACTCAGATCCTGGTCAGGTTCAGCAGTGGAGTGAATGTGGACCCAAGCACCTGGAGAGTCTCTGCCTGCACCTTAGCGAAGTCAGTCTGTACCTGACCTGGTGGTTCACACAACCAGAGAGATGAGCAGGGTTCAGATGCCTGCCGTTCTCATCACTGACTGTGCCACGGGGCCCCTTCTCAGCATATAGGTCCTGGGGATTGTGTTTTGGGTGTAGGATTTTCTCAAGCCCTCAGATTCTCTGAACTTATCAAGACTGTTATAAATGTGGTTTTGTGACCTGAGACTTGGTTTGTGAAAGAACGCGGTGGAACGAGGCGGTGCAGAGTCTCCAGAAGTGCAGGTTTATTGGGAATCAGCCTGCTGGGCTACTTCTAAGGAGAGAGTAGCAACCGGCTTGTACAGACCAGGGATTTTAAACTCAGGGCTGGGGGGTGGTCGGTCGTTCAGCCAAGGCGATGTGGTCCTCTTTGACTGGTCGGGCCTGGGGTCTCCCAAGTTCTTGATTGGTTGGGGGCTGGGATCTCCTGAAACTTGTTTTTCTTGTCGAGCAACCGTTTGCAGTTTTGGGTGGGTTAGGGTAGTTACGTCATTTCGTTCCGCCTGACTGGAGTGATGGGTTTTAGTTTTCTGGAATGAGAGGCTTAGGGAAAGGTTAAACAATAAGAGTGATGGGTTTTGGTTTCTTGGAATGAGAGGCTTAGGGCAGTAATATGGAAGTTAAGAGCTAACAGTTTGAAGAATAATAAAATGGCAAAGAGAACGCCAATAGTTTCCGTGGACGACAGTGTCTGTAGAGACAGCAGAGGATGGCTTTGCTTCTGTCCGCAGCTCACTAGGGCTGGTGGAATGCCTTTGGGTAATGAGGACTTTTTAATACCTGTTAAGGATATCCAGGGACAGAGGGGTCCCATACAAGCAGAATGGTCTTCAAGGGAGGACAGAGAGTCCTCGACATTTTGGATGCTAAGTTCTCCAGAATAATGGAAGGAGCAGTTTTGAATGACAATAATCGTCAAATGGGAACAAAAGCTACTGATTATCTTGGCCATAAAATGGAAATGTATCAACAACCATCCTCAGTTTCAGTTAAAGTGATTTCGGAGAGGTTGATAAAGCAGTTGAGCAGTTGGCTTAAACGAGGTCAGGACATTTTGTCTGTGAACTCTCCCTGGACGCCAAGAACTCCCGTCAAAGCCCGTCACCCCCACCCCTGTTCTGAACTCCCCAGTGCTCCCGTCAGCTGGTAAAAGTTGCCACATGCTCTGTTAGTTTGCTGGACACCTGTCTATCCTCCCCACTAAAGTCAGAGCTTCTGTCCCTTGAGGTGAGCAAGAAGGCCACCCATTTTGTTGCTTCAAAAGTTCAGATTCTGAAGCTAAGAGTTCCCAACATGAGAATGTTAGAGCGGAGCCCAGAACACTGATTTGCAGGAATATTCTACCTAAATGCAATCAATCTACCTGAAAACATTGACTGAGATGACCTCCAAGGCTACTTCTAGCTCTGATGTGTTAGCATTCTAAGCATTCATATAAATCGGAGTGCAAATCTTATACTTAGATTTTGTGGTTGTACAGCGGACGTGGTGCGTGGGGGGAGGTGTTTTCGGGTATTCATGCAGGCACACATGTGAAACACGAGGAGGTGGAACATTTCTTTATTCCTTGTAACATCCAATCCCCAAACCGTAAGTAAACCTTATAGTAGGACAGTGACAATGAGGGTGGATTAGTTTCACAGAGCAATCAACAGTGAGGGCTGAGGATGATGAGGGTGTGAACGTGAACAATGTCCGAGAGCACAGAGAAGAGAGGGAAAAAATGACCATACTGTTTACGAATATTGATGAACAACTCATGTAGATTTATGTGATGAGTGAATTGTGTGATTTAAGAGGGAATGTACACATTCCCGAGTAAGCTATTTTTAACCCGAGTGTCTGAGTAAATGATAACAAGGTTTACTAAGATCTAGAATGTTCAATGAAGGTCAGTTGGAGAAAATGATGCATTGTGATACAGGCAAACTGCTTTCGGAGTGCCGTTTAGCAGTCCACTTTGAGGAAACCAGTAGCCTCCTAAACATCAGCGAGAAGTTAGAGCTAGAAGTTGGTGTGGAAGTTTTATCCCACCAGCTCCCTTCAGCACACAGAACCCACACTGGGTATTTGAAACGGGGAGGGTGTCATGCGAGGAATTAGTTACACGGGTCCTGGAAGGCTTAAGGTGCACAGAGATGAGGAACCCCAGGATGAAGTCACCACCTGTAGGCCTGGGGAGCAAAAGGGGGCAGGCCCTGTTGGGGGCGGGGGCTCAGAATGCGGCAGGCCGGCTGGCACCTGTGGGCACGGGGCAGGGCGCCGCTGGGCACCACGTGAGCGAAGCTCACAATCCCGCGGACGGGGCCTTGTGCGCCCGGCTCAGCCAGACGCGGTGGAGGCGCCCGCAGCCCGCGCTCAGACCCGGAGGGGAGGGCGCCCGGGGGCCAGGGCGCCAGGCAGGGCAGGTGACAGCGCCACGGGTCCCCTTACGGCCCAGAGGACGGTCTGGGTGCCGCGGGTCCTCTGAAGCTCCTGGGGCGTCTGCCCAGGACGCTCTGAAGCCGGAGCCTGGGCCCAACCCGGAGCCTGGGCCGAACCCCTGCTGCCACCGGAACACGCCCGCCCGGGAACCAGAAGTGGGGGGCTGTGCGCACTACCGATCCCGCCCGCACTGGAGGCGCTGCCCAGCGAGGGGCCGGGCCTGGCAGGGGCTGCTGGTCTGCGCCCCCCGCACCTCGGGGCTCCCCGGGCGGGCTTGGACCCGCCAGGACGGACCCGGCAGCCAGGCTGGGCGGAGCAGAAGCAAGCGGCGGGGAGGGGCAGGAGTCTGAGAGAGGCTGAGAGCACCTGACCACGAGGAAGGAGCGTCTCCCCAGACCTGTGTCCTGGGCACAAGCGGGGCGAGGGGCGAAGCTGAAGCAGCGGAGCACGGTCGCGAGGGCCAGGGGGGCGAACCCCGCCCGCAACACCGGCTGGCCGGGGGTCGCTCGGGGAGAACCGGGACCAGAGCTCGTGGGCCGGACCTGGAGGTTCTCACCCCGTGGCCCAATGAGGGGGCTGCCCGGTCCGGGGCCAGCTTCAGTGTTGACATGGGCCTGCTTCTTGGTGGAACCTGGCATTTTAGATCAGACAGCGCGTGGAAGACATTCTAACAATCCGCGGACGAAGGGGAGGAGGAGGGGTGTGCGGTGCTGTTTCGGGGGCCCAGTTAGTCCGTTTAGTAATTAGTTCAGTCTCCCCGGAGCACAGATATCGGAAGGGAAGGACTAGCGCACACGTGTTTGAAGACAGGACTTGAACTTTACTAGTCAGTTCACGGGGGCCACAGTTCAACCCTTCCATTCCTCCTATTAATCTTGATTCACTAACTCACTTTATTAATAAAAAATTCACTAGGCCCCCTCCTAGGAACTGCAGGTGACAGGTGAACAAGACCCAGTGCCCCCCACCCCAAGCTCATCGCCTGCAGCACCATAAACTGGACAGGACGTCACTTTAGAGAGCCCACAATCCGGAGGTCAAGGTGTGACCCTCCAGAGAGGGTCGTGCGTGGAGATCGCGGTGCCGGCGTCTCTTCACCATCTTCCCGTCTGCAGCTGCTCCTTCGTGGTTAATTTCTTTCCCTCTTTTTACAGCAGAACGGTGTCATTTCGCTTCTACAACCCCCCAGCTTAGTTTCGAAGGACAGGCATTCGACTTCACAGCGACCGGACATCCTTTGACAATGTATTTGCCTTATAACTGCTCCCCTGGCTAAGTGAAGAAAGAAAGTAGTCTGCGGTTATCCAGTACTTAATGACTGCGAGACCAAACCACATCGCCCAGGCCAAATTCAGCTTTCCCCATTCCACATCCCCAGAGACAGAGTGTCAGTCTCCAGCAAGCGGGTGCCACCTGAACAGCCGTGTCTGGGCTCAGGTCCCTGTACAGTCTGTGCTGTGTCCTGACTTGACGTTCACTGAGGAAAAACCAACAAGCAGATCTCCCTCTGTTATAATCATTTCTAGGATACAAGACCCAGAATGTTTCTTCCTGGGAGGAAAAGGATCTACTTTGCCATTTCCGTAAACAATGTCTTCCAATGATTGATTGTTTCATGTCTCCACACTCGTCATGTAGCAACAGGTGAAGACTGCTATTTCCGCTGTAGGTAGAGCAATGATGAGCACTATCCACAGGCATAGGGTTGTGGAGTTTGGGGTCCAAAACAAAAGGGAACATGGCACTAGCCTGCTCTGTAAAGAGGGACAACGCAATGGTGTCCTTGGTCCAGGTGAGCAAATTTGGAGTGACATAGCAATGGGGGTTCATCAGAATGAAGACACTAAGCTGGAGAGAATGAAGATATTCCAAGAGAGGAATGATGGGAAGATACGGACATTACGTATTCTCAGGAGAAATGGCTGAAAACACTGGACGTTACCCTCAACAGAAGTCACGTTTGTTCTTGGAAACAATAACTCTGGGAGGGAAAGGGTGCATATTAACTGTCACATGTATTAGCTAGGACCGTGTTGAAGAGATTAAAATTAGGCTTGTTCACGTCCAAGCTAGGACTCGGACCAATGGAAAGGAATTGCGAAGACGTCGATTTCCACTCAAAGTAAGGGGAAAATGTTTAAGTAATGCAAAGTTGAACCGGGGATATTGTGAGTTATAGATCACTGAAATGTATCAGGCATCAGGGCGATCAGCTGATGGGAAACATGCATTCAGCGTTTAATTATTGAGTCTGGCAGATGATACGAACACTGGCAAGGACAATGAAAACAAGGCAGTGATAATAGTTAACTCTATCCGAGCACCGAGGGTGTGTCTGGCCCTGTTTAAGCTATTTACTTCAACACAGAGGTTGTGGCCCTGTTTGGTTTGGCTCAGTGGTAGAGTGTCGGCCCGCGGACCAAAGAGTCGTGGGTTCGATTCTGGTCAAGGTCACGTGCCTCGGTTACGGTTCATCCCCAGCCCTGGTCTGGGTCCTGCAGGAGGCAACCAGTCGATGTGTCCCTCTCATGTCAATGTTTCTTTCCCTCTCCCTTTCTCTCCCTCCCATTCTATGTGAAGATAGAAAAATATCCTTGGGTGAGGATTAAAGAAAAACACACACACACACACACACACACACACAGAGGTTGGGAAACCGTCCCCACGCAGTTATTTTTCCCTTCAGACTTTTAGTGATAGGGCCCCTGGGCTTTAGCTGGGCACGTGGATACTTAGCCGAAGGTGTCAGTTCCTGGCTCCCCGTTTCTGTGCGGACCGATGCTACAGGAAGGAGAAGGGACAAGCTGCTCTCTTAGTCTTTTTCACCGTGTTCTTTACTTACCTTCCAGCTTTTCTTGTTAGAGCACCTTTTTTTTTGTTGTTCAGATAGAGTGGGGATGGAGAGAAAGAGAGAAAAACATCGATGCGAAAGGGACACATCGAGTGGCCGCCACCCGCACAACCCAACCAGGGCCGGGGACAAACCGCAACCGAGGCACGTGCCCCCAGCGGGAACCGAACCCGGCTCTCCCCGGACCGCAGGCCGACGCTCCACCGCTGAGCCAAACCGGCCAGGGCTTGTTAGAGCACCTTTAAAACCAGATCAAATTGGCTCCATAGCTCAGGGGTTAGAGCACTGGTCTCGTAAAACCAGATAAAATCATCACCTGTGTCGGATGGCGGAGATGACCTTCCTCTTTCATGCTGACCTGACTTGAGAGACAAGAGCCCACTGCCCAGTCTAGCCCGCCTACCTACTTTTAGACTTTGACCCAGGGAAATATATTGTCTTTCTTCAGTCTCTCTATTTTAAACTTTATTACAACAAGTTGGCCTTCAATTGCTGTAACAGGTGTATGAATCACATAGAAAGGACATTGTCATTACCATCTATAGAAAGGAGCTTGAGTTCACACAGCTCATGAGGACTGGACGTGAGATCAACCTCAAATGTTGGCATAATAGTCTGTGGCCGTCACCTCTTATACTGATGGTTAAGCTCACTTCCGATGCTGAGATTCTCTGTGGTGGCCGTGGTGGCGGTCATCCTGCGTTGTGCCCTCACTGTGCTTATTGTGGGGCCCCTAGTGTGTATGAGCTGAGTTAGGGACAGGGAGCTCTTAGGAACTAGAGTCCTGGTGAAAGGAGGTGGAGAAGACAGCTTCCGACGGGTTCCCCAGCCTGCCTCCATCATCGAGCCTCCAGGGAAAGGGACGGGAGCAGAAGCTAAGTAACCATTCTACAAGCGAGCCTTTGGGGTACGAGGGCATGATTCTCGGCTCTGGTCTTCACTTCTAGTCCTGACAGCTGTCAGAAGTGCAGTGCTAATCCCTCCTCCCAGGAGGCCGTTCCTGATCCCACAGTGAGAGCCAACGTCCGCACCGATGGCTCCTCCTCAGATTTCGCATCTTCTGCGAGAACCGTTTGGTACCTCGGCATCCGTACACCTTCCTGTTTCAGCATTCACTCTGTCTTAAATTCATCAAATGCCTATGTATTGTCACAGGCAACTGATTTTAGACCAACACAGAAATAATAGACCAAGAAACTTCAAGCAAATTAAGGGCCAAGGCCATGCTCCAATTATAGTTCTACTTCTGTTTGACCTGTCTTTACTACAGTTCCCAGAACAACTTCTCCTAAGTGGTGGGCACACATTCAGTACCTATTGGTTTGTGAGGCCCGCGTGCGTAATAAATGAGCGTGGGGTTCAGGGGCCACACAAGGAGAGTCCCTCCAGGGGAGGCTTCATACCAGGAGAAAAGGACTGTTGATGAGGATGGACAGCAAAGGTTCTTAAGGACAGTCTAGCTGAATTGAGCAAATAGAGACCATTTTCAAAGGACTCAGGAACTTAAAAGCAAACCAGTCAAGATGTTAGTGGTTTCAGTGATACAGTCTTCCATGGCTGTGTGCGAGCTAGAGAGGCCGGTATCCTCTAAGGCTAGGAGGTTTGGACAAATCAGGGAGACATGGGAAAACAGACTGCTCTGCACCTGTTGTCGCAAGTTTATGTCATGGAGGCTGTGCTTCCCTGAATTAGCGAGTGCGTTTGGACCTTGCGCTGAGACTTCCTCTCCTCTGGCTGATCACATTGGCACATCTGGGCGGGGGTCACCCAGGAGGGAAAGGCTCTGGCGGAAAGAGGTCTGAACCCCTGGCCGAGCTTTTAGAGAAATGAAGGGCATGCCCTCTGGTTAGAGACGGTCGGGGTCAGTGTCATCCACTGTTTTGTGTCTGAGCTCGGGGAAGGATTTCCAGTAACTGGCTCATCTTGGGCTCTTTTTTTAAATTACGGGGTAAGTCATGTACTTTCCTAACAGCCAAGCTGTCTCCTCACAGACTGCTGTCCTTACATTCATAAGGATGTCCCTCTTACCTGAGAACATCGGAGCAAGGAGAACGAGGACAGCGACACTGAAGAGAAAGACTCTCGTGGTGCCAGGCGTCGGTGGGGAGGGGTGACGGAGGTGCCGGCGCTGGGGCCCCGCTCTCTCAGCAGGAAGGCTGATTAAAGCCATTTCTGTGGCTCTGACAGAGCGACAGTCAACTTGGGTTTGCCGTGTCCATTAAGAATAAACTGTTCTTCATGCCCCATTGAATGCTAGGTGGGCGGACAGATCAGATGTTACCTACAGAACATTTATGAGAGAGGAAGGCAGAGTACCCCGTCTTCCTGCCTGGAATGCTCTAGTCTGTGTCTCTGCCAAGCTGTCTCCTATTTTCCCCTCAAGCCCCATCTCAAGCACCAGCCCCTCCATAAGATCGATAACTACCATTCTTTTTCTTCTTATCTAAGAGTTTATATGCAACCTACACTCTTACAGAGTTCGCTGAGCGGTTACTGATTAGTGCCTAGAATAATCACTGTTCAAAAATCGACCAATGCAGGGCAAGTTGCCTACCTGCACCCCTCTCATGCTGCAGAGGAAGGAACCCCGTCCCCCTCCCCACAGAGGACAGATATAACAGTGGGGTTCACTAGGTGCCATATGACAGACACACTCAAGCAAAGACAAAAGCGTATACTCTGTGCCTGAGACAGAAGCTATGCCCACACAAGGTGACAACCCTGGAGCAGGCCGTGTAACCTCTCGATCTCTTGGTAAGGAAGTGGTCCAAGCCCCCACCCCATTCTGTGTAGCTGACTACGGGTCAAAAGACTGCAAGTTTGAGAAAGCCCTTCCCAACTAAAATGATACAAGAAAATAGCATGAACACCTCTCTGCTAACCAGTCAACAACGTACCCAAAATGGAAAAACTCCTTCAAAAGTTCAACTTACCAAAATTGACACAAGAATTAGCAGAACATTGGAACATCTCTTTATCTTTTTAAGAAATCAAAAAAAAATTTAATTAAACAAAAGATGGCTTCTGCTTAGAATGTAGAAATGTGGAGGGAATAAAAACCACATTCCCACATCAACCAAAGACAGAGCAACGTGCAGGGGGAGAGCAAATGTTCAGAGTTTCTGGAACTTAGAAAGCTGTTTCGAGGCAAACACTCCCCCCAAGTCTAAGATAAGACAGGAATCTCCGAGGGAAGTAAGACATGAGCTCCCTTAGCTGAGGTAGAGTCCACCAGGCTCCGGCCCAGAGGATTCAGGTACGTCTGTGAAGAATCACTAATAGCGAGTGTGGACTGGAAAGACGACATAATGCTCCCGGGCCACGGGCGAGGGGCGTGCGCGCCAGATCCCCGTTCTGCGTGGGCCTCCCTGGTGCTCACACGTGAGAAGGGAACTGAGCGGACGGTTTTGAGAAAGCACCCCTCCCGGTGCGGGTGGGGGAAGCTGTAAGAACCCCGGGGAGAAGGGCACCAAGCTCTGCGTGAACCCTTCTCCCACGAGGAATAAAACGCCTGCAGCTCTGTAGACGGGCCGCAACCACCTCCCCGTGCTTTGCGGGCAAACACCCATCGCTGGTTAAAAAAATTGAAGCTGGGAAAGATGTTTAAAACTGTTACTGGAGGAAGACCCGTCTGGAAATAGGTTCTTCCACGGTGTCGCAGAAAAGGAATTTCAGGCACACACACGTGAAGATTTCAAGGAATCGTGGCGAGATTTATTCGAGCCTGTGGGAAGGCTGCCGGCTGGCGGAGGCGCCTCTGGGCACTGGGCTGGGAGGGGGTGATCATTGCCCCGTGCATGCCAGGCCCGCAGCCTCAGCCATAGTGGGTGGCTAGCTCCCCAGAGGAGGGAGCCCAGCTTCTGGGACAACACGCCTGAGGTGGGCTCACCCTGGCCCCCAGGGCTGACCTTGGGCACCTCACTTAACTTCCGTGCACGTCCTCAGCCAAGGCTTCGTGGTGCTGGGCCCCATCGGCGCTGCACCCCAGTCTTGCCGCTACCGAGGGAGGGGGCTCTGTCAAGTGTCCCCACACTTCACTGGGCTTGGGAGAGAGCAGGCTCTTTCAAACTGTCCAGCTCTTTCCTGGATTTTCCTGGGCGTGCGTCCCTGTGGTGACCAATCTTTTTACCAGATTGTGGCCAGGTGTGCCTCCTCCCCTTCCCGACCCCCATCCTGGCTTCCACTGGGCACGCACACAACAGAGGCCTCTCCCCACCGTCTCTCCTCCCCCCACGTTCTTCTGGGGGGCTGACCAGTTGCTCCCCAGGTGATAGGAAAGGTGGTCGTCCCTCCCTGTGACAGTGACTCCCGCTGTTCCCTGGAATGTCTGTGACACTGCCCGCCCCGACAGAATCCGGCTCGGCCAGTCTCTCCTCCCTTTGTTAATAACTCACCACCTACGGTAACTAGACCAAGTCACAATGCACCTCCGCGCTTGGCACAGGGAAGCTTGTGCCTGGGGCCATTAGCCACGAGGCCCGGGGACGGTCACTGAGAAGGACTGAAGCGGATGTCTTGTCGAAAAAATATACACGCCAGAGAAAATGGAGGGGCTTCTTTAGAATCCCCCAGAGAAGCCCCCTGAACCTGGTTCACTCTGTGGGCCTTTATTAGTACTAGTTCATTCTTTTCACTTGTTAGACATCTGGTCAGACTTTATACTTAGTTTTCAGCCGGTTTGGGTATTTATGTTGAAGGGCCCCACATTTTGCCATCAGAGGCTGCCGTTTAGGGATATTGATTTCAAGTTGTTTATGAAGAAACAGACTCAGAAAGAACCATGGATCCTCCTCACTTTTCTGCCCAAGATATTCAGACAGAGAGCCCGGCCTCAGACAGAGTCCAGTGACTTTACCTGATTTGCATTGAGTGTGGCAAAAGGGAGGACTCAGCAGAGCCTGGGAGCCGGACACCCCCGCCCCGCGGTGGCTCCACTGACTGGGGGGATTCTCCTGCCTCTTCCTCCGTCACCCACAAAGCGGCCCTTCTCGCATCTGAAATCTAACGCTCTGTTCCCTGTTTTCGCCTTTGTCCAGAACGTCTTCTGCTCCTATTGCTCAATGTCTTTGGAATGTTCGTGCTTATATGAATTCCCATGTGCATGTCTGAAAACTTTTTTTCCCTCCTGTTAATCCTCCTCTGTTAATCTGATTGTTGGCCCAGGTAGAAGATTTTAGACGGCGGGAGGAAAAGTTTTCACATTTTTTTAGCTGCCACAATGTCTTTCTAGAAATATATGCATTTCATCCAAGTTATCTAAAATGTCGCTTTACAGTTGTTAGCAGTCTTGCCTTATAATACTTTTTATTTCTGTAAGGTCATGGTCATGGTCATGTTCTATCTGATTGTAGGAATTTGAGAGTTCTCTTTCTTTTTTCTTGGTCAGTCTAGTTAGAGGTTTGCCTATCTTATTGATCATTTTAAAACACAAACTTTTGGTTTTATTGATTCTTTTTTTTGTTTGTTTTCTTAGTCTCTATTTCATTTGTTTCTACTCTAATCTTTATTTCCTTTCTTCTGCTTGTTTTGGGTTTAGCTCTTCCTTTGTAGCTTCTAAAGGTGGAAAATTAGTTTATAGATTTGAGATGTTCTTTTAAAATGCAGGCATTTGCAACTATAAATTTCCCCATAAGTGTTGCTGGTGGATGTGGGGTTCTTGGGGTATCACGAGAAAAAGCATTTTCAGGGACCCCCAAGAGAAGATGAGGTCTGGTGGTAACATGTATTTGTGATGCAAAATCAAAAGGATGCCCATCTCCATCTGTCCTGCCATGGAAAATCAGGGCCAGAAATAGAGCAAATGTCCAGAGACCCTGTGCCATATTAAAGCCGGGTTCAGTCCAGCATTCGGCGAGCTTGGCGTGTGTTCCTGGCTGCAATCCACTGCTCGCTGCTTACCTGCCTGTGCCGGGGTTTAGAGTCTGTGTGCCAGTGGCCCTGTGGCTGGGAGGGACGTGTGGCTCCCAAGGACATGGACCAGGAGCGAGAGAGAGAGAGAGAGAGAGAGAGAGAGAGCACTTTGTCCTCCGGGGGTTTCAACCAGGAGCTTTTCAAAATAACCCATCAGCGTGCCGCGCTTGGTGGACTTCCCAGGGCAGGGTTCCGAGGTAAGCCTGCTTCGGGGAAGCTGGGCACGCCGTCCGTCAAGGCTCCTGGGCAGCTCCTGACCTTGCTCAGTTTCCTGAAGGTCAATATTCTTTCCGGTTGATCTCCTATGAGCTTATGTCAATTCCCCTCTCCCAGGGCTACATTCTAAAACCACCTGCTGCTGCGTTCCTTTGCCTGATGAGTCCCATTATGGGGGACTGTTTCAGCCCAGTGACCTTGAGTAGCATCGACTTGGTCCCTGGGAGGCACACCCCTTGCCCTGCCTAGAATCAGAAGCTATTCCACTGCTGATTTTCCCCCTTGTCCTGCCATCCTGAACAACTCCAACCAGACCTCGCTGCCTGCACGTATTTTCAGGTGTGAGTCCGGCACGCACACCACAGGGTGGCCCCCCATCTCATAGGGTCGGTGTGAAACGGATGGTTTTCTCACCCCCCCCCCCTTTCGGGGCAGCGTGAAGTCACGATCCCAGCTCACCAGTAACATTTCCCAAAGAAACCCTGTCCTCTGCCTTCTTTAGCTTCCTGTTATACCCTCAGGTGTACACAAAGGTAAGGGTTTCCAGTCACAGTGTGTGGTCAACTTCTTGGCTCTTCTTGCATTTGTGGTCTAGCGCCTCTGCTGGAAGGTGCGAGTTAATGATGCTCGATGTTACATCTTCTCCCTTTTGCGAATTCAGCCCAACCTGATCAGTCTTGCTTTGTATTTTCATTCCCTTGCAGTTATTAAGAGGGGCCTTTGAAATGACACTCAGAACCAAAAAGGGGAGTTGGGATTAGCACAATAAGGTCATTGCTACAATTTCAAAATTCAGGTATACTCCATGCTGAATATTTCAAATCGGTCTCTAACATTTTCATTTACTGGCGAGAAGAAAAAAAGGCAAAGTTAGGGTGTGGACATGAACCGAGTAGGTGTGAGTGGTTTATAAATACACCATCAGTACTGGAATCAAAAAAAGGACAATAAGGTGGTCTACCAAGAAGTGGTGTGGGTAGAAGTCATTTATTGTCTTCTGTAGAAACAGAGCTCCATTATCACAGATGGTTTTCTGTTTTGTGAGAATTGGTACACACAGACAGGTGCACAGAGTGTGGCGGTGGTGTGTGCAGCCTTCCCTGATTCAGCTGTGACCCTCTGGGTCTCAGTTTCTTCCAGTGTCCATGAGATGACACCATGCACCGCAGAGGGAGACCTCGGGCCACGCGAGCAGAGCGTGGGGAAGGGGTTCATCGGTGATGACATCCTCCGCAGCTATGCAGTGGTAGCATCTGGTTGAAATTGAGGAGTCACTCGCGCCTTCCAGCTATTAGGTACCCACTCACGTCTGGCTTTTTTTTATCAAGATCATCTTGAAAAATAAGCAAAGGCACAAAACAAAGGGAGAATGAAATGAGAAGGACACTCGCTCACTGCACGACTCTGTTAAGCTACATAACGTCTCCTGACCTTTGACTATCGGGGGCTCCTTCAGAGGGGGCGCCGGCCGGCTCACACCCTCCGTCGGCAGCAGAAGAAGTTCAACTTGCAGCCTCCGACCGCCTTCTCGTCCTCGGTGCACACCCTCCGGCACTTGCCCCGGCCCAGCATGCACGACTCACACGCAGCGAAATCACCTGGCCGAGAGAGAGAGAGAGAGAGAGAGAGAGAGAGAGAGAGAGGCTCGGGGGCCTAGCCTGGGACTCTGGGAATGGGGAGGAGGTCAGAGGCCACCAAAGGGGAGGGTTTGCGTTTATGGTTATAGAGGGTGTTTTCACGAACCAGCGGAGATTTTTCAAAGAGCTCTCTGCTTTTTGCAAAATGGGGTTGGAGAGAGTTTGTGTTTAAGCCGGAGGGAGGTACCCTCCCTGCTCCCCTCGGGCTGCTAACCCTGCGTGGCCAAGAGGCTTCGTGATGAGAGCGGGAGGGACACTGTGTGGTCCTGAAAGATCCCTGGAGAAGGAGTGAGAGGTTTGGGTTCAGTTCTGGGTTGTCTTTGCATCAAAGGAAAATTCCTTCCTTCGCCTCTAGGGGCAGCATTTATGTGAAGCCCTTGTTTTCGTTCCTGTTCCCCTCTTCCCAGTAACCTCGGGCACTACTGACCCTCACAGGGCTCCTTCTCCATCCTCAGGGGTGCTTCCGTCTCCACGCCCCTCGAGTCCCCCGCCTCACCACCTGCCCCTCTCTCTCCGAGGACTGCTCAGCAACACCCCAGCTCGAGCGGGCCCACTCCTGGGTACCACCCCGAAGGTTGTTCGTATTCGTGCTCAGTGTCGCTTATGTTGTGTTGGAACTTACTGTGTTCACGGGGGACTACTTTGTCCATTTGTGAAGTCCCCCGTCGGAGTCAAATCCGTTCCCCCAGCCGAGCCCCTGCCCTAGCAAGCCGGGGCTTCTATCACCCCCTCTTCTCCTTGACACAGGGCACGCGTCACACCTGGACACAGGAGCTCCAGTCGCCTCTGACACCAGGTCTGGGGACGTGGATTCTGACCTACTCTGACTGGACGTGCGGGCAGACAAACTCGAGCGTTCTACTGAAGGTGCCCGTCTGCCCACAGCAGATGCCACCACGGGCCCCTCCGCCCGATAGCGAGATCGCAAACCCCTCAACTCCCGGTTCTCTGCTAGCTCCTATTTTATCACTTTCTACTCCTACACCCCGTGGGCTTCCTCGCCCCGGAGCTCCTGCACTCGCATCCGCCACGCTGTGCCCGCCCCTCCGGGCTCCCGTCCTCACCTAGATCTGCTCTGGTGCCTCAGCCTGTCTGCTTCCCAGGGCAGGAGAGGGTCCATTGTCGCCTTCGAATCAGACGAGACGTGAAATGAGCTGGTACCCCTCATCTGACCCGCTCTTCCCGATGCCAGGATTACCTCGAGGGGCCCATTGGCTGCAGAACGGGAACACCCATTCTCCCGCCGTCACCCCGATAACTCTCTGGGTGTGTTTGTATGAGGGCTTGGCCCAGGCAAAATGAGTCTCTGTGACAGCATCTGTGCTTTTCAGAGCGTGTGGTCGGGTCACTCAATGCGCAGGCAGCGGCTGAAGACTCTGTATGCCACCTCTGCCTAAGGGTTCTGCTGGGCTGGGCACTGTTCTGCCTGGTTGAGGACCACAGAATTAGAACACGATTCTGATGTCCTCAGCTGGAAGCGTGGCTTAGCACCTATTACGTGTGGCCCCGGGGCAATGTTACTTAATATCTCATCTAGGTCTCTGCTCTGTTATCTGTAAAATGGTGGTCATCAGAGTACCTACCCCCTAGGGCGGTCTTGAAGATTAAATGAGATAATCCCCAGAAAGTTGTTCATAGACCTCCTGGCGCATAGCAAGCACTCAAAGACTAGTATCAACCTTAACTTGTCTCACTCTGAAAGTCTGTCTAACACTTGCAGTTACCCAAGAATATTTCTTCCTGTTCCGTGTATGATATGCTCCCTTCCTGTGCGAGACCACCTCAAAACAAAACAAAACGAGACGAAATGAAAACCAGGGGGCTCTTTGCTAAGAGCAGCTGTGTAGGGGGTGTTCACCGAGCAAGCCTCGCGCCTTCACGCGACCCCGCGCAGACCGGTGGCGTGCACTGGGGACACACTTGGCCGCACTTAGGAGAGAGTCTGTGAGGGACGGATGAGCACGTCCCAGAGCGAAGCTAATGGCCGGTTCGGGCTCAATCCTGGGGCCTCGGTCTAGAGACCACCGGGAGCTACGGGAGCAGCCACCAGCTCCAGATCTCTGCGGCCCCCCAGCGACAGAGAGCTCCCTGTGAAATGGAAAATCCAATATGACGCTGGGCGCAAGAGGAAGAGAAGAGTCCGTGGAAGCTCAGGCATTCTGTGTTCACTATTCCCGGTCACGTCCTTGTCCCCAGAAGCCAGAGACAGGCCAGCGCTCCTGAAAGTAGCCCGCACCCAAAGGGTTTAACTCACCTCCTGGGAACGGCTGGGAATACTCCAGTCCCGCCTGGCACCCTGCAGTCAAAGCAAAGCACATTGGAGGTGAGCATCAATGTGGGGAACAGCCTGTGGGAAACAGCATCCCAGCCCCCAGCTCCTCGGCCTGCGCTGCAGACTTGTCTCCTCCGGGAGCCTCGCCCTGCTGGAGGCCAGGAAGACGCTGTTAGAAGGAGGCGAAGGGGAATCGCTGTTTGCGCTTAGAAATCCCACAGCAAGTTCAAGAGCTCGCACGGGAGGCCCCGTGGGGCTGCCCTGAGTCGGAGGCTGGCGGGAAAGAACCGCCGCATTTCAGGCTCGGGCCATCCAAACCCCACCCGTTCCCCGTACCTGACGGACACTGAGTCAACAGGAAGAAAAGGACAAGGACAAAATACAACATCTTCCCGCTCGGGGTCATTGCTGGTGGCAGACTCGCCGGGTGTCCCTGAGGGGACGGGAGCTCACTCCTATTTGAAAAGAAAGCGACCGGCTCGCGGTCAGTGAAGTGGATCAACAAAGAAAGCCCGTTTACATGCTCCATTTCCCAGGTTCAAGGCGGGCCCGATGGACAACAGCCCTCGGCCTCGGTCAAGCCTTGTGTTTGGGGGATCTGGCTGGGGCGGTGGGAAGAACACCAGGCCAGGAGCTGGAGAAGCCCCCACAGCTGTGCCCTCCTCCCCCAGGGTAGGAGCAGGCTCCTTCTCTACCAAATCCGAACCGCCCACCTTCCTGAGGGGGACACGGGTCGTGTGCGGCCTCCCAGGCGGCTGCGAGGCTCTGCTGTGCTGACGGGGCAGACGTGTTCCAAAATCTGCGATGCTCCGAGCTCGGCCAGGTGAGCTACTGCTGTCCATTTGTTTCGTCTCTAAATGTCACAGGAGTAAGGACGGGCAGCAACCAGGGCAGCGCTGAATCCCTGGGCACCAGCCAGCACTTCTAAGTCATAATCACACATCCTGCGAACTCATCGGAAGCGCGGGTGTCCGACGTCGTATTCGGCCCCTGCAGTGCAGCGGACCACCCAAGCCTGTGCCTGTGCGGTGCTCTGTCCTTCGTTTCCGGAATGAAAGCAGGACCAGTTACACGTGCACACTCTGACGGCAGCCGGGTTGATGTTTTAAGCAGATAACGTTGAACAGATGGTTGAATTGTTCAAACTTCACTCTCCCATTCGTACACGGAGGATGTAACAACGATGCCTCCGCAGGATACCGGAGAGAATGTGCTGAAACAGGGGTGCAAAGTGCTTATCAGAGTTTCTGGCCAGGGGGACCCCTACGACATTCACATCTCTCTGTCCGATTGGAGCCCAACTTCTCTGGAAACTCTGTCAGGCCCACTGATTCCTACAGAACTTTCCTGGCCTGGAGAAATTTGTTTCCATGTCTTCTTCTTTTTTCCATCTTATTGTTGAAGTATTACAGATGTCCCCCCTTTTCTCCTCATTGACCCCTTCCTCCCAGTCCCACCCCACTCCTGCTTTCCCCAAACCATTGTCTGTGTCCTTGGGTTGTGCATATTTCCATATAAGCTCTTCGGTTTATCTCTTCCCATCCCCCACCCTCCATCCCTCCGAGGTTTGTCAGTCTGTTCCCTACTTCCATTCCTCTGGATCTATTTTGATCGACAGCTTATTTGTTTATATTATTCCACAAAAAAGTGAGATCATGTGATACTTGTCTTTCTCTGACTGGCTTATTTCACTTAGCATAATACTCTCCAGGTCCCTCCATGTAGTCTCAAAGGATGAGAGATCTTTCTTTCTTACAGCTGCGTAGTACTCCATTGTGTACATGTACCACAGCTTTTTTATCCACTCATCTACTGATGGATACTTGGGCTGTTTCCAGATCTTAGCAATTGTAAATAGTGCTGTTATGAATATAGCGAAAAGGTTAGTAATGTTTTATTATATTTTTTAATTTTTAATCTTTATTTTTGTTACAGATGTTTCTCCTTTTTTACCCCATTGACACCCTCCTTCCCATCCCCCCCTCTGCCCCTTCCCTGGCTTTGTTGTCCATGTCCATTGGTTATGCGTACATGCATATAAGTTCTATGATTTATCTCTTCCCACGACCCCCACCCCCCTTCTGAGGGATGTCAGTCTGTGCCCTACTTCCATGTTTCTGGGGCTACCGTATTCCTCAGACTGTTATGTTCATTATATTCAGTATATAAGTGAGATCATGTGGTATTTGTTTTTTTCAAAGTTAGTAATGTTTTAAAGGGTAAAGGTAAAAGTTTGCAAAAGGTGGAAACTGGAAATTGTGCTTGCATGACCTTTGCTCAGCCTTCTGTTGAGTACGGATAAGGATTATCCGGATCATCCGCAAGGCAGTGGATCACCCAGCAGATGGCGGACGAGATACCAGCTCAGCCCTACTGCGAAGTGGACAGTGGGCCAGACAGAGGACACCAGCGGGAACTGCTGGAAGCTAGAAGTAGGGTATATAACCGGCACCCCAACCCTGACTCCAGGCTGAACCCTTCTGGGCGCATGCAATAAAGCCATTTTGCTCTACACCGGCCTTGTGTTGTGGATGTGACCTCCCGCTGGCTCAGACCTGCTATATGGGGGTGCACATCTTCTTCAGGCTTCGTAGGGTATATTCCTAGTGGGATCACTGGGTCAGATGGCAGTTCAATTTTTTTATATATTCTCACCTGAAGATATTTTCCCATTTATCTTCAGATAGAGTGTGAGGGAGACAGAGAGAGAGAAACATCCCTGTGAGAGAGACACAGTGATTGGCTGGCTGCCTCCCACACAACCCTGACCAGGGCCAGGAGGAACCGCAAGGGCGGTACCTGCGGTTGAATCTGTGATCGGGGCCAAGGCTCTACCGCTGAGCCAAGCTGGCCAGGCCCCAGTCCCATGTCCTGATTTTGAGGACTCTTGCTGGTGTGCCGACTAACAGCCACCACGTCCCGGGGTCTGCCAGCAGCTCAGCGTGGGCAACACAAGCCGATCCCTGTGGCAACTGGCAGAGCGGAGCCGGATGGGTTCAGGGTTATGCTCGCCAGTGCGGGTGGCACACAGCCCTGCCCCCTCGGGTTTAATGCGTGCTCAGGGCGCTGAAACTGTTTTGTCTTTGACCCTGTGCTTTGTCACCAAGTCCTGCGGGACGAGGAGCGCTCGGGGCCTTGAAGCTCAGCTCCCGGACCTTCCCGCGTGTCTGTCCTCCCCTGCAAGAGGGTCCCCCAGTACCCCGCCGGGCTGGGCACCCCCAGCCTCCAGAACGGGGAGAAAAGGATGTTTGGAGCGGAGAAGCCGCTCTGGGCATTTTGCAGCAGCAGCCAGAGCGGACGGAGACCCGCATCGGGGTTTGGAGAGAAGCCCCGGAACCTGGCCCGGAGCGCGAGTTCACCGCCCTGGGAACGCGCCCTCGTCCCGATGGTCCAACCCCGTCGCTGTGTGCACCCCCCTCCCTTGCTGTCACAGACCCTCTTCAGAACAGCAGAGATAAATGAGAGAATGAGGGAATGAATAAGATAACTAAACCGTGTGGAACTGAGACTCCCTGGGAGTTTGTCTTTTGTTGTAGATTTAAATCTTTTTAAGTGACGTTTGGAAGAGAATGGAGTGTCATTCTTCACTGGAGCAGTCATCATTTATCAGCAATATGCACACAAAAAACCTAACCAAAATGCCATGGTCATCAAAGCTAAGGAGAGATGGGGCGCTCCCTAATAGTCTTTTCAAATAAAAAATGTTCAGTTTGGAATAATTGTAGATTTACTGAAAAGTTGCAAAGATAGTACAGTACCCTCCCCCACCCAACTCTAATGTAGCACCCGTGGTCATGATTATTCATGTGAATACCCGTGGTGCCTGTTCTTAGGTAAGATTTTGAAGGATGTTTAGATTGACATACATATTTAACAATTAAACTACTATACCACACACACACACACACACACGAAATCTCATAATCGAACGTCCCATTAGCTGACAGCTGCCCAAGGAGCTGACTGAGAATTAGCTGAGATGACGTGTGTGACATTTAAAGTGTCGGCACACAGCCCTGGCCGGTTTGGCTCAGCGGTTGGAGCATCGGCCTGCGGACCAGGGAGTCCTGGGTTGGGTTCCTGCTAGGGGCATGTGCCAAAAAAAAAAGAAAAAATTAATGGTGACATATGTGCTCCGTAAAGCAATTTGCCAAGTGTGTGCAGCTAGCTCAGAAATGCACGAGCTGGAACTCACTCCCGCCGAGTCCTGGGCACGGCTGTGCCCACACACGCTGAGGGGCACACAGGTGCCGTCCGCTTACATGTGAGTGAGTGGCTGCTCAAGCCCCCGCTGCCAGACTCCAGCGCTTTGGTCCCTGCTGACTCACACATCTACGCTCAGGCATCCGTGCACACCCTGCTCTGTCCTCCCTACACCCCCATTTTCTTTTTTGGGAACTTTCCAGAATCAAAAAAAAGAAACCCCGACGAGCTGCCGGCTGCCCCCCACCGAGGCGTGTGGGCTGGATGCAGCAGAGCACAGAAATGCTCCGACATGCCTCACCGATCAAGGTGGTGTTGAGTCTGCAAAGATGGATAAACGTGGGCATGTGCTTCATTTCTCACGGACGCGGAGCTGATCTCTCAAGACCCTGCAAGTCATGAGGATGTTCCTCTTTCTCTTTGCTGTTTTCTTCTTTCTGGCCCCAGGTAACATGAGCACGTTTGCAGGAAGGGTGTCAGAGGTGGTGGCTCAGACACAGGGTCTGCCTGAGGGAGGGTGTGGCCACGATCCATGGACTAGAAAAGCACCCTGGGCCGTGGCCCTGCAGGGGACGCTTGCTCCAGGAGGTGACATCCCCTGTGCCTCTTCTGTAAATTCTTTGCATTTTCCATTATCGTCTGGGACAGGATGTCACAGGTTTGCAGAAATACAGATAGGCCAGGAAGGATGCCTTTTTATTTTTTTTTCATTCATCTTTAGACAGAGCACGGGGGGGGGGGGGGGGGCGAGGAGAGAAATATCGATGTGAGAGCGACACATCAAGCGGTCGCCACCCACACGACCCCAACCGGGGTGGGAACAAACGGCAATCGAGGTACATGCCCTTAGCGGGAACCGAACCCGGGACTCTCCGGTCTGCAGGCTGATGCTCTAACCGGTCAGGGTAGGAAAGATGCCTCTTGATTCTTAGTCTCATGCTCACTAACCAAAAGGAAAATCTGCAAAAAATGAAAAGCAAGGTATAACCATCTGTGGATCTTTTAAAAAAGAGTGGTGGTAAAAAGGATGACAGGTAAGAAAAGAAGAGATGGGCGACAAACAAAGCGGAGCGTGGGGACACTGCTCACTGCCATGGCAGCCGGTGCCAAGCGCCTGTGCCCAGCCCTCTGCTGTGAGCTGCACTGTGTGGCCACCGCTCACACGGGGCGATGCACTTGGTTCTGCAACGTCAGTGCCCTCGAGGGAAGGTGCCTGCCTCCAGCTCAGTGATGTTCAGCGTGTCCCTTTTGGTTTGGAAAGTAAGGCTCAGAGGGGCTCAGCAGTCACGCCGAGTCCTGGGGGTACGCAGGAGTGAGCCAGGGTTTGAGCCCCGCTCTGTCTGTCCTCAGCCAGAGGATGGATCCTTCCCAGTCAGAACTGCCCCCCATGTCCTTCTCCTAGGGACCCCCAATGGCGCTGGCGGAATCCTCCCTAAAATTAAAACCCAGGACTAGACTCACCCCGGTTCTAGAGAGCAGGAGAACAGGCTTTCCAGAATTCACGAGTCCGGGCTCGTAGCCGACGGCAGTGAGACCCGAGCGTGCTCAGAATGTTCAGCCGCCGTGCACGCCTCCCTGCGGGCGGATGTGCGGCAAGCGGGTGGACGCGGACGGTGGCAAGGCTGCAGGGGAGCGGGGACTCCGTGGGCCGTCCATTCCGCTGGCGTGGACGCGCACACTGGGAACGGGCCAGGGCGTCATTTGCAGATCACGCGTGGAGATGGAGTACATCAGTATCTAAGTAAATGGAAGTTTGCTCAGGGATGTGTCTTAGGTGCACAGAGCTGGAGTCACACTGACCGCTGGAGGGGTGTGTGCGAGGATCCGCTAGGAGCCGGGTGGGCACACTCTCTCTTTCCAGAGCCCTTCTCTTCCTGGACCGTCACTGTCAGTTGAATCCAGGACAAGGACTGTTGTCAGAGTGAGGTCCATGCCTCTAGCTTGAGACGGCCTGACGAGTTAGGAGGGTGGAGAGACTGTCGTCCCCTCCGGTGGGCGCCCTAGTTCACTGAGCTGTCAAACCCTGGGCTGTTTATTCGTTGGACTATCCGTGGATGCGAGACGGAGTGTGACCAGTCACCTGCTGGCACCCCTCTGGCTTCGCCTATGTCGATGTTGCATGTTGACCTCAGTTGCAGTTTGTGCACCTCTGAGCCTTCCATTACAAACACCCAAAGCAAGCATCTCGAACATGCGGACTCCGCGGTGTCGTCGTCCTTGACGTGAGGCCGGCTGCCCTGTGATCGCTGCTGACCAAGTCCGCAGGCCAGAGCCGTGCTCTGCGCAGACCAGCAAGGAGGAGGCTCGGAGAGCCCCCTCCCCTCCTCGCTCTCGAACGCAGCTGGTAGGAGTGGAGGAGAAACCAGGCTGGCTCTTTCTGAGCAGTCTCTTCACTTCACTCCACCTCAGTAAACATTTTTCTTTTTCTTTTCATCCTCACCTGAGGACATTTTTGCATTCTTATTTTCAGATAGAGTGGGAGGGAGAAAGGGAGGAATAGAGAGAGAAGCATCGATGTGAGAGAGACACATCGACTGGTTGCCACTCACACGACCCCAACCAGGGCCGGGGACAAACTGCAACCGAGGTACGTGCCCTTAGAGGGAACCGAACCCGGGTCTCTCTGGACCGCAGGCTGACGCTCTAACCACTGAGCCAAACCGGCCAGGGCTCAATAAACTTTGTTCTTCTATATATTTATTCTGCTTTTATCCCAGTCTCAGGCCGCCCCCCAATCTCAGGCTGGGCTCTCCCCTGCCCTCTTGGCACTGTGAGGGTATGTTAGGGGAGTCCCTAGCTCTAAAGGTGTTTGGAGGAACCACCTGATAACTATCCCAACAGGTTTTTTGTTTTTTTTTTATCCTCACCCGAGGACATTTTTTCTATTTTTTGTTCAGATAGAGTGTGGGAGGGAGAGAGAGAGAGAAACATTGAAGTGAAAGGGACACGTCGAGTGGTTGCCACCCACACGACCCAACCAGGGCCGGGGACAAACTGCAACCGAGGTACATGCCCTTAGCGGGAGCCGAACCCGGGTCTCTCAGGACTGCAGGCCGATGCTCTAACCGCTGAGCCAAACCGGCCAGGGCCCGACAGGTTTTGATGAATGAACAATAGCATCAACTTCCCAAAGTCCCGCAAACACGGGAGACCCATCTGTTCTTCCTGGTCTGAAAACCAGTAGAAAACCTTCCCTCTCGTGGACTGGTAAGAGGAGGCACCATGCCAACTCATAAAGCGTCCTCACTAACTGGTTCTCTGCCTGCCTCTGCCTGGCAACAGGGCAAAGCTGAGACATGAATTAACGTGGGGGCGGGGGGGGGGCTCCTTCCTTGTGTAGCCAGGAACGCGTTCTTTGATAAGAAATGCTACAAGCTTAAAGGGAGATGCGTGAATTCTTGTCAGAAAAATGAAGAGCTGGTTTCTCTCTGCCAGAAGTCTCGGAAATGTTGCCTGCTTCTCCAGACATGTTCCAAGTCCAAAGAAATGATGCTCATTGATGACAAGGTTCCTGGGAGCACCACGGAAGGCCCAGCCACCTCCTCTCCTTACCCGACCTTTTTCTAAGACACCTCAATAAAATGACTGCCTGGCTGCTAACACTGTTCAGGTGCTTCACCTAGACAGGGAGCACAAGGGGCTCACCTGGATCGTCCCTTCCTCCTGCATTCTTCTTCTTTTCTTTTTTCCTGTAAGAGAACTGTCCCCAAACCATCTCATATTTCTTTTAAAAGGGGACTCCAGGAGTCTATAAACAAACCTCTAGCTTGTTCCCAGGAAGTCAGCCCCAAACAACCTGTTAAGTCAGACAAATGATTACGATAGACAGATGACACAGAGACAGAGAGATATAGACATAGACATAGACATAGACATAGATATATGGATAGAGAGATAAATGAACATACATCAGGATGGATAGTTATATTAGTAATAAATAGATAGATAGATAATCTACTTATCCAACACTCTGAGGTGTCACACATCTGTCTAAATTAATATCTTGACTCCATGCCTTTAATTGAAGACAGTTAAGGACAGCCAATACATTTGTTCTCTTATCTATAAGTCTGGATTCAAGTTTGCTGATGGGCAGAGGAATCATAGATATCTAAAATAAAACACTTATTTTTTTTTTCCCCTGCCTGATCTTTCCAGAATTAAGAAACTATTATTTATTCTTCTTTTGATATCAATATAATTATTTTAATAAGTTTAATAAGAATAGGTTCTCCTTGCAGCCAGACACAATTAGGAATGCTGATTATACCACCAAGGCTTTGAGTGAATGTCATGTCTGAGAATGAGGTGCCTCGAACCCACTCCAAAGAACGAAGTTCACTTTGTGCAGCCCGGTGCCTGGCTTACAGCTTCCCGGCCTTATAGGGGAGGCTGTCCCTGGCAGACCCAGGCACCGGATGCTATCCTGGGGCCCTCCGTGCTCAGTTTCAGTGATTCCCCACGAAAACCCGCTGCCAATGCCCTGCCTCCCCTCCTGGGGTGCAGCCGGCCACAGCTTCCTTTGCTATTTCAGTGACAGGTGACCTTGACGCAGGCAGGATCTGCGGCTATGGGACTGCTCGCTGCCGGAGGAGGTGTAAGGCCCGGGAATTCAGGATTGGCATGTGCCCCAACATCTACCCATGCTGCCTGAAGGGGCGGGCACCCGCACTGACTCTTGCAGAATCCCCAAACCCACTGGTGCCCAGTCCCTAGACTCACCAGCAGCTGGACCCACAGCTGGGACATCCGGGTGCAGCCACTGACCCACTGACCACATGAGGGTTTGCTGAGAGCTCCCCTCTGGCCCAGGCAGGGCTAGCAGAGCCCCGAACACGGGACCTGGGCCTCCTGGCCCGCGCGGGCCTCCTCTGGGCTGACAGGGAGTTAACTGTGATGCAGGTTAACTCTGAGTTTCAACACTTTCAAAGCTTAACTAAAAAGATGTTGAATCAGCCACAGCCTAAGTGAACATCATTTTGCTGTTGTTGTTTCGCGTGAATTATAGCAATGGATCTTGATAACATTGGTTTTCTTTTCTGATCATAAGTTCTGCTCGGCAGTAATGTATGTCTTTTGTTCTTTAACTTGGAAAGTAATTGAAAATTAAGGACAATTTGTTTGGTACACACTATAATTCAAAACATCAACGTCTGGGGAGAAAAAAATTATCAGTGATGAAAAGGATGCAGACTTAGGGGCTGAACCAAGTGGGTGTCTGTGAGGGTCACATCCAGCAGGCGGCAGCAGAGAGCAGCATGGTCTGGGCAGTTGGGTGGACATAATACTCATCGGCCCTAAGGAACCGGAGTGACAGGACCTCTGACCTGGCCTTCCCGTCCGAACTGTATTTCAGGGAAACCAAATAATTTAGAATGAACAGCTTCTCTCTACAAAAGTAGCCCAGCTGATAAATGAAGTAAGAATAGAATGAGAACACCACTGTTTTGCAAAGACCAGGGAAAGAATGATGTAGCCCATAAATGTCAATAGCCACTGAAGGAAACAAGAATGACCGCCTGGTATTATGTGCCTCCTAACAGGCGTACACAATGCCACCCATGCTCTGTCAAGCTGACCTGTGCTCTTTTGGCCCGACACGGTGGCACAAGAAAATGTCTTGGAGCCATCACCGCCCAGCTCGTCCCTGGCCAAGCTCCGCTCCTAGATCATTTCCAAGAACACCCCAGATGCCCCATCACTCCCTCAGGAAATGCTTGGGAATATATGACTCAGAGAAAAGGGCTCTTTTACAAAACAGAATCACAGTGCTGCCTCCACACCTGGAAACAAAGCGCACACTCACTTCTTAATATAACTTAACAGCTGAGGCGTGTTAAACACCCTCGTGTTCCAGAAGGGCCTTCCTTCATCAGAACTGCTTTCTGGGAACTGGTCCTAACAGGTCCGCGTGCTGCCTGTGGCTGTTTGTCTCTAGGGCTTGTCGTAGGGATGGTGTCGGACACCTGCCACCCCCCTGCCCCGTGCTGTGCCCAGGATCAGTCTCTAATATCACCACTGCAGTCACGGCCCCGGGGAGGCAGCACCCCAGACTCTGGAGACAGAATATGCCGGGGTGGTAGTTATGAAAATACCGCTATATGTTGATTCATAATCCATCACTATTAATATCTGAATATGAGATGAGGCTCTCTCTTTTTTTTTATCCTCACCCGAGGACATTTTTCCATTTTTTGTTCAGGTAGAGTGGGAGGGAGAGAGAGGAACAGAGAGAGAGAGAGAAACATCGACGTGAAAGGGACACATCGAGTGGCTGCCACCCGCACGACCAACCAGGGCCGGGGACAAACTGCAACTGAGGTACGTGCCCTTATCGGAAACCGAACCCGGGTCTCTCTGGACCGCAGGCCGACGCTGAGCCAAACCGGCCAGGGTCCTCTCTTTTTTTTTTTTTTTTTAGGGAAAACGAACATCTGTAGAAATAAGTTGCCCATATATTTTAAAACGGGCATCTTTTATCACAGATCCCAAATGTACTTCATATAGACAAAACTGTAGGAAGTAGCTCTGACCAGGACACAGAAGTGTGAGAATGAGGAATAAGAGAAATATCCATCTGAGTCGAGGTAACAGCAGTTTCTACGTGCCGTCCACCTTCTCTGACATCCAATTGCCGGGACCTGGGTGACTAATGCCCCTTATCACGGGCCCCCCATCTCTGTGTCCTCTCTGGATTGGGAGATTTCTGATGCCTGGAGGTAGGAGGATGCCCACGGCGCTGATGCTGTCTCTGGCCGGCACCTCGGGGCTCCTCTGTCTCGAGCGCTGACTGCGGTGGGTCCGGCAGTGCCCGCTCTGTCCGCAGCCCCAGACCTTCACCCTTCACCTTCTTCTCTGCCCAGTCTCCGCGGTGGCTGCTGCCTCCCTGCCACCCGTGTCCACCTGCCCAGAGACAGTCTACGTACGTCCCCTGGCACGAAGACGTTTTCTCTGAACCGACACGAGCTGTGCGAGGGAGGCACCTGGGGAAACCCCTCTGCGAGTCAGCGATGCTGTGCCGGGCGTGTGAGTGGCAGCCCTCGGGCCCGAGCCTACGCCTGTCTTATGTGCCTCCTAACAGAGGTGCACAATGCCACCCGTGCCCTGGGTGAGACAGAACAGGCTGCCCCGCCGGCTGCGTGCCGGAGACGTCGCCACCCAAGGAAACGTCACGCCCGCAAGGAGGAGCCGCTGGAGGAGAGCTTGCTCACTAACCACCGAGGGAGAAACCCAGGCTCGGCGTGGGCATTTTCTACAGCAGACTCGAACCGAACCCGAGGCCTCGGCAGCCAGGCGTCTGGGGAAGAACAGAAGAGGGTGCATGAAGGAGAGTCACATCATTCAAATCAGAAGGGGGAGGATAAAAGAGACGACCGAGTCGCGGAGAAGCCAAAAAGTCAGGGGGAGACTGAGGGAGAGGCCAGGAGGGAAACATCGAGGGGACCTCTGGGAAGGCGCTGTGCAAAGTCAGGTCACACTGAAACATTGTTTCCCTGCTCGACACTCAGATGGGGATTTCATGTCAGTGACATGTATGTAGCCTCTTTCCTTCTGTCTGCTCCTCTGGCCCGGTGCTTCCTTACTCACAACCCACAGGGCGCTCAGGCGTGGTCTTCGCTTCCGGAGGGCAGTGGTTTGGTGTCCCTAGCACCGGGGGTGGGACGGTGGTGTGTGGGAGCCCTGTGTGACCGGACCTGACTCGGGAACAGCTCTTCCCCAGCTCCAGGCCCACGCCGCAGCTCAGCAATAAAGGGAGCCCCATGCCCCCCCCCCCCCACACACACACTGGGAACGGACTGGCTCCCGGTCCCCGCGGCCACATGAAGCCACTGCTCCTGCCGTGCACCCTTCTCGTGGGCCTGCTGTGTCCAGGTACACCGGGCTGGGACCTGGGCCGGGGCCAGGGTCTCTGCACTGCTCACTCCGGGGCTGGGCCACAGGCTGGGGGCTGAGGTCCACGCCCTGGGAACACATCTTCTGGTGCAGATGTCAGGCGAGAGTCTCCTGCCGGGGGGTCCCATTGACTCCGACTCTGCTGATGCTCTGCTGCCCGGGGAGGCTCCCACCCGAGGCCACCTGCATATCCTGCCAACGTTCCCTCCCACTTACGGGGAAGGACAGTCCCTACCAGGAGAACCTTACATTTCAGGGGGCTCACCAGCCACACTGGTGATGCCCTAGGGGAGAGCCAGCTCAGCCTCCATGTCAGGCGCCACGCTCACCTCCTTCCGGTGTCCTCGCTCTCTCCCCACCCCTCTGCCCCTCTCTCTGTCCCTTTCTCCCTCTGCCCCTTTCTCCCTATGTCTCTCTCTCTCTGTCCCTTTCTCCCTATGTCTCTCTCTCTCTGTGTCCCTTTCTTCCTATGTCTCTCTCTCTCTCTGTCTCTTTCTCCCTATGTCTCTCTCTCTCTGCCCCTTTCTCCCTATGTCTCTCTCTCTCTGTCCCTTTCTCCCTATGTCTCTCTCTCTCTCTCTCTCTCACACACACACACGCACAACACTTGCCCCCTCCCAGCACACTCCATCCACACTTCCCTGTCTCCTCTCAAGCAGCTCCCTGATCTGTGA